CTTTATGTTATGATGAAATAATGATTGAAATAATGATTTTTAAACCTTTTAGCAAATTTTTATGTATAATTCAGATTCCCAAGCTTGCATAAACTTTTCTAACTTTGATTTGCTGTTATAAATTCTTAATGGGATGATTTGAATGCTTTTAAAATGTTGGGATCCCTCATATGTAAATTTTACAAACTTAATAATTAAGGGGTGGTCTTGTGATAATCTATATCTTAGGAGTTAATTGTGGTTTGGTAAGAGCAATGTTACACCTATGATTAGTCTAGCTAATTTTGCTATTATAACAATAATATATCTAATGAACATAGTTAATCCTCATGGTTTTTGGTCTCTAATGTAGTTAATTAATTAAGATAATAATTTGCTTTGTTTGGCTCAATAAGAATCTTTAGTAACCAAAGATACTCTTATCATTTAGAATTACTAATTTTCAAAACTAAATTTCAAAATAATTAAAACAATAAAGAGAGCGTTGTGAAGCAATTAGCATATTAAAACACTAGAACACTCCCCAATTGGTTCCCTTAAGTTCGTTTGTTGATTGAGCTTTCTTTAATTGTAAACCTCACAATTATTTGTTCTAAGCACGCTCTCAAAATTTACTCCCTTGACTTGAATAAGTTTGGTTTATAGAGTGCTTAGCATTCATTTTTGGAATTTTTGTGGAACGATCTTAGACTCACCATTGTATTACTATTAGACCCATCCACTTGCGGTTATAGGTACTAATTTCAGGCACATCATTTATTTAACTCAATTTGGTCTAGTTTTGAATGCTATATGTTAATTAAAGTAAGAAAAAATTAATCATTTAGTCATTCTAGTTTTGACTTAATTATAACTCAATTCTTAAATTTTGACTCATTATAACTCAGTCTCTAAAATTTTGTCCCAGTTGTAAATCAATTTCTAAACTTTGCCTTTTACAATTTAGTTCCTGAAGTTTTAATTTTTTAAATATTAGTCCCTATATTTTAAAAAATAAAATTATAAAGATTAAAAATATTTTAAAATTTATTACTAATATTTTAATTTATTAAACCCTTTAATCTTTATAAATATTATAAATATTGAAAGTTTAAAATAATTTTAATCTTTATAATTTTATTTTTTAAAATATAGGGACTAATATTAAAAAGGTTAAAATTTCAGGGACTAAATTGTAGGAGATAAAGTTCAGAGACTAAGTTACAATTAGGTCAAAACTACAATGATCAAATAATTAATTTTATCTTAAAGTAATAAGTTCATGAGAAAGGTAAGAGTTTTTCAATTTTGTTAAATAACTATTAAATCATTTTTATTTTTTAATTTTATTTTTAAAATATGGTTAAAAAATGTTACTTTGAACACCAAAGGTGATAGGAAAAAATAATTGTGAGCCAAAGAAAATTTGTTATTCACTTGATGTTTATTAGAACTATCAATTAGGGTTGATTAGACTCTAAAAGGTTAGAATTTAGATGGGCTGGCTTTTTTAAGTTTGATAACGTTTCAAGGTTCCATTTTGCATAGTTCGATCTTGAAGCTACAACCTTTTTTTTTCATTTTAATTTAAAAATATATTTAAAATTTTAAAAAAATTATTACATGTAACATTAAGTATAAAAAAATAAATTTAAGTATAATAAAAAATAATAACATCATAAAATCAACCTCAATAATAATTAAATTTTGCTAATATTACTGACTAAGTCTTGATAAATGAGGAACGAAAGAAAGGAGGGTGGTCTATAATATACTTGATTAATTGGTTGGCAGATGGGAGTGAAGGAATGAGAATGGCTAAATGAGATTAGTGTTTCCCTGTATGGTTGCGTGTAGTGATTGATTTTTTTTTTTCCCATATTAAAATTTCAAAAAAAATGTAAAAGGGTTTGAGTGGGGCTGGCCTTAAGTGTGGTTTGAATGTTTATATAGTAAGAAAGCACAATCTGAACAACGAGCCGTCCTAGCTCAGTGGTAGAGCGCGTGGCTTTTAACCACGTGGTCGTGGGTTCGATCCCCACGGACGGCGAATTTTATTGTTGTCTTTTCCAACTTTTAAGTAACCCACCAAAACGGTCCTTTTCGAGGTTCCTTTGCGCATTGTTCAAACTCCACAAGTCAACACGTGGGTGAATGGCCATCGTTTACGTGAGTCCAACATTGACATTAAATCACATGGCCATTTAGAATGTATAAGTTGACAGATTTACATGCACATAATTTTTTTAATCCATGGATAGCAATATTTAATTCAGAACTTGTTCATAGGCTTATTTATAAACATGATTTGCATCTTGAAATCCCATGCTTCGCGTTGATTTTACTGGTTGCTAATTTAAAGCATGAATTTAAATGCTGAACTTGTTTTTTCATGAACTCTGGTCTCTGGAGTATATTTTTGATATGCGAAACGCAAACATATGTCGATGACCATTAAATATTAAATAATACACCTTTTATCTTAAATTATAAAATATTTTAAAAAAGTTTTTTTGTCCTAAAATATAAAACATTTTAAGTATATTATAGTTTTATTAAATACATAAATTTTAATATTACTATTTCTCTCTTTATAATTAATTTTTATCTCTTCTCTTTTCAACATGTTAAATGATGAATATTTTTAAAAATTTATATTTTTATTTTAAAAAGATAAAATTATTAAATGTATTTAATAAAATTTATTAATATATAAGATTTTATTAAAAAATATTTTATAATTTAGAACGGAGTAAGTAATAAAAAGGATACATAAGAACAGGGACATATTTACCTTATGGCTTATGGGGGAAATTGCTCCCGCAAGACCAAAAATAATTACACATAATAACCTAAAATCTTTCAATTGCCTCCCTTAAAAAAAATCACTTGCTCCCTATTCTAATTTTTTTTTCACTTTTCCTTTCAAAAGGTCTCTCTTATCCCCTAAAAAAATGATTTAACTAAAATTTTATCTATATTTTATAATCTTAAATAAATGGAGGGAGAGATAATTTAAAAATAAATTTCTTTAATTTTAAATCTTTTAGAAAATAATTAACATTTTTGTTGTGTGACAAATTTATCAACATTATATATATCTATATAGGTTCGGCAAGCCTGGAAATTTTAGCACATTTTCTTACATGGGTATCGTTGTAGAAAAAGATTGTTTCTAAATTTCTAATCAAATAAAGCAGACAAATTTTCAAAAAAGGAAGAAACGACGGATTTCCCTGGTAATAATAGCTAGTCAAAGATTACATGGACTTTTTAGTGCCACGCAGAGGTAAAATCTTCATGATTCAAGCGCTCAGAAAATAAAAATAAAATTATGCATAAGAATAGTAAAATCAAACCAAATCGATGTGAATTCAAAAGTGTGATAATTGCACCTAGTCGTATCATTACATGTAAATAAGAAAAATTTACTGTGTCTTTTGGATTAGGTCATCAAACTTTAGCTGACCTTTTGCTAAAATTAACCACCCGAAGATTTGTAGATGTAACTCTTATTAATCTTTTTAATTTGACTAGATCGATTTAAGATTCTCCCCTCAATCTGGAGAACTTTATTTTACACGAAATCTGCTATGAATTAAAACCCAAGGCTGAACTAATACAACTAATTAAAGTGAAAATATTAATAATTACGTGATTCTCACACATACATTAATTTGTTAGCGAGAGTAATATTTTCAGCTTGAATCTTGAGGATCCCATTATGCAGAAGATCAAGAATATTGTAGCCATATCCCATATCTCGGCTGTACTGCTCCGTTTTAAGAGATAAAGATGCGTATTTCATATACTAATTCCGTTTTATCACAATATCTATGTGATAAGTGGTGCATGAAGGTGCATAAGGATTAAAGAAAATTTCAACACCTTGTCTTTACACTCTCACATATACTGATTCCATTTTACATTATAAAACACCCACTAAAAAATTATTTATTTTCTTTGATATTCTAAAAATATTGTGTTATGTCCAAATTTACCATCTTAAGTACCATCTAATCCCAATTATTAGGAATATTTTAGGCGAAACAACATTAAATACTGTACATAATCCATAAAATTTTTTATACTGTGAAACATAGACATCTCCAAATAGGCAAATAGTGCCTTATAAATTGAAAAGGGGAGTAAATATAATGTACAAAATGGTCAAGATCAAGAGGGAAAACTGCCTACAGAGGACTAATGAAAATGGCACAGGTCATGAGAATCCAAGAAGGATTTAGGCTAACTTAGAACCAAGTTCACAAAAAAGGAAAAAAAAAAAAGTCAAAGTTTTCAGTGATTTTACGGAAGTCTCGAGGCCTGGCTTCTACAAAATATAACAATCTTCGCACTTATTAATTCGATAAGATCGAAGTTTGGGATCTTATATAGTGTGTGATTTGATTGTAACCTTAAATCACATGTTTAGAAAAGTTAAAACTTGCTTACCGGTTTCATCATATGGAAGCTGAAATTATTTTCTTATGACCCTCCTGCTGGGCGTAGAAATTTGACCTTAGAAGATAAGAGTAATGAGCCTAATGCTGTTAACTAATCTTTTCATTTGTACTGAATTGTATTATTATACAAAGACATGATTATCACTTGAAAGCTACAAAGATTTTTAGAGAGGGGTCAGTATTGGCAAGATTTTAACCGTTTCATCATGTATTCTTGTATGTTCTCGTGTTGAAAAGATCTCATCGCAATCTTCAGTCTAAATATATCGTGGAAATTTCGATTAAGAAATTGATTTCTTTAACGTGGGCTTCATACAAAACACAAGAAAATGGCTTTTGTAAATGAGGGAAGTTGCATTTCCTTGACATGATCTGTGTGCTATTTTCGACTTGCAAGGAAAATATTGCAAAAGCTCTCCGACAACACATCTTTTAGAAACAACCGCAGCTAGAGTAATTTTGTTTTCTACAGCTTTCAAGGTGTCTTACTTCTTCCCCAAAAAAAAAAAAAAAATCTCGATGCCTATCATCAACGTATATGTTTCTGTGGATATGTATAACGAAGCAAGGGAGAAAGAGCCTTCACCGCTTTCTAAATTCTGATTTACAACTTAGCTGATGGAAAAAGAAGAGACAGAACATGGATTCCCGCTTGAAATAGGCAGTTCTCTCCAACATCAATGAGATCTTAATTACTTTCAAAAATGATTCTCAGTCTCCGAAGCTCTCTTCGGTGCCAAAAATAAAATAATAATAATAATGCAGGAGCGAGTCTCACCAGTACGCAATATTATCTCTTATATATCAACTCCAGCAGTAGGTCTGCGAAATAATCTGTTCAGAACTGCAGAAGAGAAGAGGGCCACGAAAAGATGTTAAATTTGTACCCACAAACACACACGTACACCACCACCACCAACAAATATATGTGTTGAATTTAAAATATGTACACGCACAATGAGCATCTATAAATTAAACTGTTCTCAGATCTATGTTCCTCTTTTTGTGTGCCTCTAACTTTGACTCCTCTTCGTCATTTTATCTCTTTTCCCTTTAGCCCAAGTTTTGCTTCGTTCTTTTTCCTTTCTATTATTGAATTCAAATTCACCCGTGTCATCAAAATAACTAACGATCGCACAAAAAATGAACGCCGTTTCCTTTATACTTGAAAACAGTAAATATACACTGGACGAATCAAGGTAAAACTGTTTCAATGTCGTTATATGCTCGCATAGAGCAAGACAGAAAAGAAGACTACTATAGTACTATTATATATATCAATTACGGATCCTACTCAAAACGGCAAAAAACCTTCTGTTCCCGCAATAGGATGGTTTCATCAATTATTTTTCATAAAGGAAAAAAAAATAAAGGTAGGTCATATTTTCACTGTGAATGGTAGAATCTAGATAGCAACAATTGCTATTAGCTTACGGTACATTCCTGCATCAGTATGACTTGAATTTAACAAAGACCAAATCAGGATACGCAGGCTATAGTACACTAAAGTGGCCATTGGAGCTAATCATAATTGATGAATGCGACATTCACCATCGTCCTGAACATATCAGTCTGTCCACAAAATCCAAGATTATCTTACCGAATAATCTAATGTCTGTTTTAATTAATTGTCATTCATTTGTAAACATGGCTCGGATATAGTTAAAAAAAAAAAAACTTGCATCTATTTATTTTCAGCTGCCCTCAGAACAATCATGCATTTGAAAGGAAAAAAAAACATGGAAATCATTGAAAAAAGCAGCGATCTCACACGAGAGAGGGGGGGGGGGGGGAGAGAGAAGGCGAAGCTTAAACAGGCATCAAAGATCAAAGATAAAGCCGATGACAGTGGAAGACGACAATATACATACCAAAGTTAAAAATGTTAGACGACATCGTCGAAGGCGCAAGAGCTGCAAAATTGGAAATCAGGAAGAAGGACCAACGCTCCTACCATCCAAACCTTCCGATTGCTCTTGGTGTTGCTGTTGCTGGGGCGGTAGAAGAAGCTGTTCCTGAAGCTGATGGTGCTGAGGAGGATGAGGGTGATGCTGATCCTGCTGTGGCGGAAGAAATAGCTGCTCCTGAACCTGATGATGCGAAGGCTGCTGATGGTGACACTGATTCTGCTGATGGTGCGGTTGCTGCGGTAGAAGCATCTGCTCCTGAAGTTGTTGCTGTGGCTGCTGTTGCTGTGGCGATAGAAGTAGCTGTTCCTGAAGCTGGTTGTGCAGAGGCTGATGATGCTGATGCTGATTCTGGTGCTGCGGCGGAAGAAACTCTTGAGGATGATGACGCGGAGTATGATGATGGTGTTGCTGATTCTGCTGCTGAGGATGATCTCCTCCTTGAGCTTGCTGTAGTTGCATCGAATGGTAAGCGTTGTCGTATGTGTTCAGAGCCAGCGAAGGCGACATCTCTGGAGCTTGGCTGAATCCACTCCCCGAAACCGATCCCATTTCAATGCCCCCTCCGCCACCATACCTCATAAAGTCTTGCTGCTGCGGCGGCGGCGGCTGTTGTTGCTGCTGATCATAAATCCCAAAGAATTCTTGCACTTGCCTCACATCCATATCCGTCGTTAACTGCGTCCCCAACATCTGCTGCTCAGCACGCTGCTGCTGCTGCTGCTGAGGTTCACGAATCACCAATTGTCCGCCGCGAGACGCCATGGACTGCGGCAGCATGTTATTGTTGTTGGGGAAAACGGTGGGACCATAAACATTGCCCTGGTGGTGAGGGTGCAACGGAATCACTCCATGATGAGGGTCTAAAACGGGAACCATGGGCTGTAGAGCCTGAGGGCCTATATAAGTAGCGAGCTCCTTCTTCGCTTTGTCGACCTCACTCTGTACGTGCTTAAGCCTTTGCTGGAGAACGGAAATGAGTCCCACGCAGCCGTAGACTGGGTCCCGGAGCCGAGCCTCGGCTTCGTAAGCTAAGGACCTGACGGCTTCTTCGCGGTGAGCCACGTTTAGCTCAGTGAGAAGCTTAGAAACATTGCTGGCGCCGAACACTTGGTGGACGGTAGAGAACTTGCGAGGGTTGTCCGGCGGGAAGTATGGTGCGAAGACGCATTCTTGGGTGCATTTTCGCCTCTGAAGCTTGCACGCGGCACACGGAGTTTTCGATGATGACATTATTTCCAATCCTACACGTTATATTCAAGCTATTAAACAATTTATTTGATCTCGTGATCTTAATTTCACAACCAAACAAACAGTGCTGCGAATTTTACAATTAAGAACGGAAGGTTAATTAGAGAGAACGAGAGAGAGATGGAGTCAAATACCAATAATTAATTAATTAATTAATAACGTACGGTGATAAAGAAAAGTGAAATCCAGCGAGGAAACGAGGAATCACGTCGATCAAGAAAGTGTATTCAACGAAGCTTCATATTCACCAACAGATTCTCGATTGAAGATTAAAAAATTCAGTGATAGATCATTAAAATAATCACCAAGTCATTAAAAGTGTCTCATAATTAATCAAATCAAGTATCGTTCTCCTTAAGGAGCCAACGTGAAATCAGGGTCCAAGCCGATGATTTTTAATCAGGGCAATATATATATATATATATATACATATATATAATTACAGAAACCTTCACCGTGAGAAACTAAAAACTAGAAAACAAAATTAAACGAAGACAGACGAAAGAGAACAGTATATTCATCGCGAAAAATCTCATCATTCATTTCCAGAAGACCTAATCAAAGAAACAATAAGAGTTGCACCGACGAGATCTAGACATGGCGGGTTTGGCATGTTGGTGAAGTTTGAAAGAGGAGAAGACAAATCGAATGGTTTCAGAGGATAAAAACAGTGCCATGGTGAGATCTAAACGGTGGCCCGAGGTCGAAAATCATGAGATTTTACTTTTAGTATACAAGAGAATAGAAAATAATTAACGAAGTGAATTTAAACACACGAAGAGAAAGAAAAGAGCTTACAGTACTGGTGTGCGAATGGAGGCAACGACTGTGCGCAGAATATATGAGCGTAAGCGAAGCAATTTGAGAAGAAGGAAATTTCTTTCTAGTTTCTTCTGCGTGCCTCGGCGTTCCAGCCTCCAGCTTTGAGAAGTTGGGGCCAGCCTTCTTTAAATTCAATTTCGGCCCAGCCTATATGCAATTTTAATTTACACCACCATATTATATTTGTCATTATCTTGTTTGTTATTTTTAGTTTTGAATTTGAATTTGTTTATGGCCATTATTTGTTAGTGTTTCAATATATAGTAACAGTTATTATTATGAGAAGCATAAAATAATTAATGTGTGTGTATATATATATATATATTCCAGATTAGTATCTCAACATATTAGTCATTTTTTTTATTTGATAAGATTGATATTACAGAATCTTCTAGATAAATTGATTGTTTGAGGCATTATGATTTATGAGATGCATTATTTGTATATATGCTGAAATTATATAATGTTAATAATGATGTGTACTGATCGAATAGATAGTTGTCGTCTGGTTAAAAAAAAAAAAAAAGATAGTTGTCGTTAAATTAGCCTAGATACGGATTGAACTGAATTTTTTTTCCATGAATAATAATTTCCATTATTTGAATGATTGGATTGGATTGGATTATTATTATATTTTTTTTACCAAGATTGGATTATTAATGAGCTTATTTATATTTGGTCAAATTACAATATGTATATATATATATATTTACAAGAAACTAAATCATAAAAATATAGGAATGGCCTTGACCCTCGATCGAGCCGAAGTGCGCCTTAAATAATAACTAAAAAAGGTCACATTACATAATAATAATAATATAAAATCATCCTTAAATTCACAAACACACACATACACACTATTTATTAAAAAATCAATTTTATTTTTTTAAGACGCATAATTTTACTAGACAAAAGGGAGATTATACTCATTTCATTTAAAAATATAAGACATTTTTAACTGAATTTTATCTTCAATACAGTAATTATCTAATTTTAAATTAATTCTATTTTTTTATATTTATTCCTATTAAACACCTAATAATAAATACAAAGTCATTATCAATAGAGACACTTTTAAAAAGAAAGCAATGATTATATCTTAAAAGATAAAAATATATTATAATTTTAAATATTCAACTACTCAAAAAATATTTTATTTTTTTGAAAGGAAGGAGTATCTCACAATTAATACTTAATGCTCGTTTAGTTATTTAATTAAGAGAGAATGACAGTTAAGTCTCAAAATAATAAATTAATACTAGTTAAGTCTTTAATTTTTTTTTATAAAATCAGTTATAAATATCAATTCAAATAGTTATAAACAAAAATTTTTGTTACAATTTAAAAGTTACATTTAATATTTAAATACTTATATGTAATTAAAACTCCTAGATTTATAATAAATGTAGATTAATATTTTTAATTTACTTTTTTAAAAAATTTATTAGAAACTTAATTGGTATTAATTCACTGCCTTAGAGCCTAACTGTCGTTTTCTCTTTAGTTAATGGCTTTGTAATCTAGTAGTATGTAAACTTCGTTGTAAGTTGCAGGTTATACGTCTAATCCCACTTGTAATTTTAGTAGTTTTAAAATGATTTATACTTTTTTATAAAAAAATATTTTCACTATTACATCATATTATTTTTAAAAGATATTTAAAGTAGTTTCTCAAAATAATTCAATTTTTTTTCAAATTCTGATTACTTTTTAAAGTTTAAACAAATGTCATAAAATTTTATAAAATATATTTTTTTAAAAAAAATAATTTATTCATGAATAATTATAGGTCAAAATATACAAAATTTCCATTAATTTTAATGTTGATGGTCAAAATATGAAACTTTATAATCCTAATTTTAAACATTTAATTAAAGATCAAGATTATAATACACGTAGACCCAAAATTCAAGGAGGATATTTAGTCCAGATAATAATTTTTTAAAAGATGGGATAAAACAAACAAATCTTAGATATTTATCATTTGTTATATCAATTGCTTTTAATTTGTGTGGGCCGGATATCACTGACCCTATTCATTATAGACTAAATTTATTTTTTTAATAACGTTTACCGTTTAAAATGACTTGTTTTTTATGTGATAAACTGATTGATACCCAGTATTATTGGATATTATTCGAACAATGAATTGGGAAGGTTAATTTTAAATATTTAAAAATAAAAGGAATTACGTGTAACTAAGTGATTTACATGGAAAGAGATATTTTACTTTAATTCTCGGTCCAGTCTAGTAAAAGAGATATTTTACTCCATTCCTCCCTCATTCCAGGAATCATCATCAATTCCTTTTACTCTCATCAGACGAATGGACGATTTTAATAGAAATGGAATAGCTATAACATTAAATTAGGCAATGCTATAGAATATCTTGGCATTTAATTTGAATATGCAAATGGCTTAATTCCACTTATTTAACAAGTGTTTTACACTACACGATATGATAATAAATTGTTTAATAGATTTAATTGAACAGTTATAAATGATTTTGTCATTAATACTCTGAATATAATAAATCTCATATTTTGGAGGAGATAGCATGTAACTCATTGAATTAGTGGCCTTAGTTTACGAGACGCTTTGTCATTATCTTATGTACGTGAACATCTGTATTTTCCTTTAAGTTTCTTCCACCAAAGTAATTAATAGAATTGAAAACAATTAAGTACGTTTGCCCTTGTTATTAAATAAAGTTAGTGAAATACTCCTCCCTTCATCTTAGTTTAAATATGAGACACTTCAGGAAGTAATGTGATATCCCAAAATATAAGACACTTTAACAAAAATAAAATTTCATTAATTATACTTATTTCAATATTATCCTTCCTTCTTAAAGGTCATGTTAGGATAGTTGTTTCTTGGCTTGAATTGACAAGATAAGACTTTGTGAAATGAGATAAAAGTATATTTCAGACAGGATAGGAGTTCATTATTAGGCCTCCTCGTCTCGTCCCAAGCAATATGTATATTATTATATTTTTATTTTTTATTAATACTTGTTTTGGTATAAAATAAAGCATCATACCAAAATCAAAATGAGGAAGGAAAACTCAAAGGACAGCTCCAAGTGAAGACAAGGCTTGATCCATTTTCAAAAAGAATCATGCTACACACATACTTAGTGTGGTCCTTAAGACTCATAATGACTAGATATTAAAAATCATTATCTGACGTGCCATGAATTTTGTGAGGTCATGTTGAGTGATCATGAATATTTAGCACACGGCTTTGGATTCTTTGAGCATAACAATCTTAGATAAACGATTATAAAAGGGACTTAACTAATGACCAAAAAAAAAGAAGAAGAAAAAATTAATTGTTTAGTCCTCCAATTTTTAATTCACTTGTAACTCAATCCCTCAACTATAACTCAATCCTTCAACTATGACTCATCTATAACTCACTCCCTCAACTTTTGAATAACTCATAATTTAGTCCTTCAACTTTTGTTAATTTTTTTTCATGTTAGCTTATATTTCACATCAAAGAGCAAGAGAAGGATATTTTAGAACAATATATGAGCATTTCTTTTAGCCCTTTTATTTGATAAGAATTTAAAAAATAAAAAATAAAGACCAAATTATAAGTAAATCAAAGGTTGAGGGACTAAATCATAATAATTTATAATTAAGGGACTGAATTGCAACAAGGTATGGTTGAGGGATTAAGTTACAAGTGTGTTAAAATTTAAAAACTAAAAGATTAATTTTCTCAAAAAAGAACAACAACTTACATAAGAAAACAACCTCAAATTCATTTTTTTTCAAATTATTTACCTTGCACTTCATAATTAGACTTAGAATTATTTTTAGTTCATAAGTTGTAATTACTACAACTTTGTACTTTACTTTTTATTAATTAAAAACACTTTTTACACCAATCTCTTTCCATCTTTGCATTTGGATGAACTAAGATAGAGAGCTCAGAAACCTATAGTTATCTTTGAGACTCCGTATCTCTGTCATGCCTGATTATATTATTTGGACACAACATTCAACTTGTGAAAACAATATTTTATTTATTTTTCCATTAGAGTACCATAAAATTGTGTATTTTTTTTTTGTTTTCTTTTTCCATAACCATCTCTAAGTCTCACTCTCTTCTTTGACTTTCTACCATGATTCATGTATCATTGTTAGCTCAGAAGATATTAGATCTCAACTTGATCTCACCTCCTTGCCTTAGATCTAAATTTCACCACCTTGAATCTCAATTGAAGAGGAAGAACCAATGACCTAAATGTTGTGCTTTGCTAGTTTATTTAAGTCATGCAAGTCTTATTCTGTTGTTGCTGTTGTACTTGTAGTATGATGATTATTTGTGTGGTTGTTGTGTTTTTTATTTTAAGTTGTAATTGTGATTGATGTAACTTAATAATTGACTTTAACTTGTATGTTTGCACTTTAAATTATGATTGTTGTAACTCAATGGTTGAATTTATTTACTTGTATTATTTTGGTTTTGGATTTAACAAGTTATGTAAATAAATAAATGTTATTACTCAAGTTTTTTCTTTTACATTTTGTCTTCTTTACCTTTTCTTACATTCTATTCCTTCCAATCCTTATTATTAGCCATTTCTAATTTTTTTTATTGGAACCAATAAGATATGATTATTAACTTTATTTAAAAATAAAATAAAATTTTAATTTTACCCTTATTTGAATAAAAAAGTTTTCAAAATTACGTTATATTCTCTTTCACAATCAATGAATAATGAGTTTAGGTAGATGTGATATTGGAAAAACGTATGATCAATATCCATTAAGTATCTTATATTAAAAACCAAAAAATCTTTTTAGGAAATACTCTACGATAGAAACCGGAGGAGAGCACATTGTATATAGATTTTACTTTTTCTTTAGTTTGTGCACTTTCATGGGAACAAGAAAGTAGGAAGGGATGAAATAAATTTTGAAGACGGTGAGTTTGAAAAAAAGGAAGAAGGTTGACAATTTAGTGGAGGCTTTGGCAACTGGTAGCACCAATTACCAAACGCAATCATTATTAGCGTTGCACCCCACGTTCGTTCATGACTCCAAAGCCATCGCTGCTGTCACCCTCCTGGATTTCAAGCTTTAGACTAAACTACGCACGCAATTCTCATCCTATTAACACTAAACTACCCATTCTACTATTCTGGTGAAAGGAACAATGCCTCTTACAAAATAACAGCCCTCTCAATCATCCCCAATTGATGCTAATGCAATTATAAATGCTCCATCATTAACAATTGGGCTTTCAATTTTTTAAAAAATTGCTGAATTTTGGCCCATAGCTTTTTCCCCCGACCCCAAAGTTGCTAATAAGCTTTGGTTCTTACTCCCTCAATTAAAAAATATATAAGTGAATTATACTTTTAATAAATTAATTAATTATATTTAAATTAATATTATTTTTTATATGTTTATCATTAAAGATTAAGGATTGAATGATTTATCTATTGATTTTTTTTTTCCCTTCACCAATATCCATTCTTGCGTTTTGAGGTTTCCCCCTAAATTTGGCATTTCACAAATGGGTGAATGCAGCCCAAACTTGGTTTGAAATTTTGACATCTGAGAGATATTAGCCCAAAGGAAAATGAGATCCACCGCACTGACCACATTTCAGACGGGCCCGGAGCCTTAAACCCTTGACGAAATTAAAACCCTCTCTCTCCCTACCACCACAATTCAGGGGCAATAACCGTCATGGCGAAGTGGTGGCGCTCCGCCTCCGGTCACCTCCGAGTGGTGGCAAATAGCAGTTGGGAGTCCTCGTTCTTATCGAGATTCCAGTATGCTTCCTACCACACGATCCAGGCTATCCCGAGAGAGTGCACTGGTAGTCGAGTCTCTGCTAGAGACAGATTCCAAGGTCGAATTCCAGCCGTTGTTGAGTACCAGAATCTTCTCGGTCAAAATTCTGCCATCCAATCGGCGTCCAGGAAGCGCTTGCTTACCACAGAGAGGAAGCAGATTAAGGCCATGCTTAATTCCGTGGACCTTCCTTTCTTTTATTCCACCCGGTTTCCTCTCCAGATCCGTGCTGGCTCTGGATCTTCTCATTTGCTTGAGTCTGGAACTGTTTTACCAATTAAGGTTTTCATTTTATTACAAGTTTGAAGATTTTGGAAAGTGACAATTAGTTAAACTAAGCGATTTTTGTTTTTAATTTTCAATTGGTTGTTTTGGTTTTCTTCATCTGTTCCGTAGATTCATAGGGACAAAGAGAGTGGGAAAATTCTAAATTTAGTGTTTGTTTGGGCTGAGGATGGGCTGGACTTGAAGGTAGATGTACCTGTAGTTTTTAAAGGCGAAGATATATGTCCTGGATTGCAGAAAGGTATTTTCTTTGCCTATTTATATTCACTTGATTGTTTTGGGTTTTTATTTTGAAAATTACTGCTATATCTTTGGGTTTGAGTAGTTTCGGGCGTAGTTTATTCGGCTTCAAATTAAATAATGATCATGCATTATGCGATAGGAAGTCGCTTTGTTTGGTTGGAGCATTGTACTGTTTAGTGATCTTATAAAAGGGAGGGGAAATACATTCCTCCGCTGGCTTCCTTATTGTTTCTTGAAATTATTCTCCTTCTGCTAGACTTGTTTTGTTTTTGGAAATTTAGATTAGTAGCCTTTAGCAATTAACTTCACGAGATAAGTCAAGAGCTTAAAAAGACTGTGTTCGTAAGTCCCTTATGATATGGGCAAAATTGGTTGGTCTAGTTAGGAGATGTTTTTATCTACTCGAACATCTGTAACCAAGCTAGAGGCGTTTGTGCTATATTTTTAAAATTTCTAAAGTTACCTTACTGCTACTATCTATCAGTTCCCTCCCAGGCTTCAGGTTCTTAGTGGCAGGCATTTTCTTCTCAAAAATGTTGTTGGAAGATCATTCTACCATTTAGTAGTATTAAAACAAAGATGTCTTATGAATTATATGTGTTTCTTAGACTTATTTTTTTCACTCTTCACCTTTTTTTCTTGTTCTCTTTCTAGTGAGCTGAGAACAGTAATTTCCAGCTTATTGATTTCGGAAAGGCTATTTTACAGCCACAGATGAAACAGGCTTTATGAGAAATAAAAGAAATTGAAATGATGTTGGATAAGTTATTTGGCATAAAAAAGGTGGGCTGGGGAGAACTTGAGGAAAAGCAGTAACTAGTGAAATTGTTTATAAAAAATGACCTCTAAAGCATGGACGCTGACAAATGACCTGACATGGACATCATCAGTAATTACCTCATGATGGGATATATGGTCTTTCATTATACATTTATAGATGGGCCTTTGTTTCATTTTCAGGGTTATTTGTGACCGAGCCTTGTCTGGCTCAAGTTTAGGCAGTGTTGCAAGTGTGATCATGTTGTATATGGAGTGTGTTCAGTCCCAAATGATAAATTTCTTCATTCTAACAGTCCAACAAATTTGAACGTGTTTTGTGGTGTTCTCATTGTCAGACATGCGATACTCAAAGATAGTTTTGTTCATGCTTTATCGATATTAACTCAGTAACTCTATCACTTTCCTTTTTGCTGGCAAATATATATTATAGTGATATAGCTTTGAAAGTCTTGTGATTTTTGGAATAATAAAGTCTTTTATGCCATCAACTTTCTTGTCCTTATTCCTATCAAATTAAGGAGGTGAGCAAGGTTGCCACAGGAAGGCTGGCTGGCTGGGAATAAAGTCAGCCAATTGTTTATGCTTTCTCTTCACATCATGCATTGCTTAACCTTGCTAGTATTACATGATATAGGAAGGTTGTCCATGATTCCATTCATAGAAAATTATCTGGATATCTTGATTAAAATTCCTAAATTTGTAGTTAGCAAAATTGGTATCCAAATGAGGGTCTAATGTGGTTTAGATTCTAATATTAAACTAATATGCAATTACAGGTGGCTGTTTGAACAGGATCCGAACTAGTCTTAAATATCTTTGTCCATCTCAGCACATCCCATCAAAAATTGAGGTGGATGTGAGCAATCTAGATATTGGGGACAGGGTGTTCATGCATGATATTGAGGTACATCCATCCTTGAAACTTCTGAGCAAGAATGAGAACATGCCTATATGTAAAATAGTTCCCACAACCTGGGAAAACAAAGAACCTGCTCCTGCTGACGACCAGCTACATTTGTAAGGAGAAACGCGAAGAGACAGAGAGATTCAGTGTCCAAATAAATGGGGTACATTGGAGCAGTGGTGAGCTCAAGCACCTGCACTTTACACCTGTTTGATTTTTGGTTCTAAACGGGCATTTCATTGTTGGTAAATAGGTGGCTGTTGATGACCAATAGATTATTGATTTCTATGTGCCCTCTTTGAACAACGGTTGTGTCAGGGACATTTTCTAGTTCTTGGACAGTTAAACCCGATTTGACCATATTATAGTCAGATATATTTGAATCAAAGCTACCCTTTCAGTCTAGCCTTGTAGTCTTTATCATTTGCTCAATGCTCAATGCCAAAACCAAAGTGGAGTTTGGGAAGTTGTTTTAGGTACTGTCATTAGTGTTCTTACAGGAGCGTTTCGAATCGAACGGAGTTCCCCATCCCAAGAATGTCTTGTTTCCTGTGTGGTGAGTGGTGACTCTTTCTGTTGTGTTGAACCAGACTGGTATGGGTCTACTTTTAGTAGGGTCTTGCAAACTAGTTCGGTATATTGTAACAAGTGTTTGAGGTTGCTTATTTTAGCTTCATTGTAGTTTACGACAGGTGTAGATAAATTATTTGGGCGCGATACTGAGCTTCAAAAGGGAAAAAAAAAAGATACTTTTAATCTGTCTCTTCAACGAAAAAAAATAAGAGAAAGCATCCCATTCCCAAGCGAAATTTTGCATATCTAATTTGTGAAGTAATTTTTCAAGAGGGCTAACCCCAGACTAACTAAAGAAATGCTTTATCGTTCAGGGTATGTAGCATATCAAACACCATGCTTTATAAATTATAGGTATAGGAATCTTGAGGCAGCCTATCTCATTTAGCGTGATTCGTCCTCTTGTAGTAACGTAAATTAGTGAAATTAAATGGAAAAGATTCAATGCCTCTTAAGTATGCGTTCGGCTGCCAGTTTGCATGACCCAATTTTAATATGTATAGTGAGGCTTTGCTTTGCAAACGGTGAGGAAAAAGCAGCCATAATCATTCCATTCTTTTCTATTCTTTATCCTCTCATTTATATTTTTTCCATAAACCAAACGGCTCCTGAGTTTAGCCCATTTTTGTTGTGTTTCATGACAAGACTATACGTGTATTAAACAATTAAGTACCTATTAGTTAAAGTGTAAGAGACTGAAAAAATATTGAGAGATTGTAAGACAAATATGAGATAATTTTCTTCAAAAAAGTGATAGACCTTACCCGATCGCTTTCTATTGTCCGTAAGCTCTTTCATGAATAAATAATTTTCATGGTGTTTGCTAAAAAAAGAGGGAGAATTTCAGTTAAAGATCATCAAAGAGAGATATTTACTCATCGTCCCAGCAAAATCTGAAAATTCTCACCAAAATTTATAGATTTAATTGAAATAAAATGAGTATCTCAAAAGATTGAAATACTTTTTTGGCAAAATTAACAAGTACTTAGTTATTATCTAATTTTACTTGATAATTTCTTAACAAGTATTGTTAAATAGTTAACCAATTAATTTCATGGCTCTATAATTTTAAAATCATTTTGTATTAATTTTATAACTTTACTTGTTAATTTGTTAACATGACTTGTTAATTATTTAACTTATGAATTCTTTAAAAGATTTGTTTACTCAATTTGACTGAAAAGTATTATTATTAGTTATTAATTTTTGTACTTCACTATTTAATTTATCAATAAAAATTGTAAATTATCTGATTTCACCTGTCAGTAATCATACTAATATTAGTTGTTAATTATTTAACTTTTACTTGTTAATTTATCAATATCAGTTGTAAATTATATGACTTGTCAATAATCATACTAATTCAATCATTTTGTTCTAAATGCAAAATTATTAATTATTAATTTTTTAATTTTACTTTTTAATTTACCAATATCAATTATCAATCATTTCTTTCTTTCTTTTGTTGAAGGGTATTTCGATCTTTTCAACCATCTATTTTATTTCAATTTAGTTTATAAATTTTGCAAAGAATTTTTAAATTTTTTTAGGACCCATTGATAAAAATCTCTCTTCCATAGTCCTTAACTAAAATTTTTCCAAAAAAAAAAAATCATGGTGATTCTTATATGAATTAGCAAACTTTCTCTTTTTCTTCTCAGGCACTTGAAATGCATAGAAAGCCTCTCTTTTTCTACTTGTTTTGTTTGTTTGGTTACCTTATTTGAATTTTTTTTAAAGAAAATACGTTTATTATGTCTTAATCCCAATCTTTATAAGTAAAGTTAGTAATTTGAGTTAAACCCGATGGACTAGTCAGAAAAATTTAGAGTTGAGCCTAAAAAATAATATTTTTTTTATGTTCGAGCCTATTCGAGCTTGCTTGAATAGGCTTAAAAAAATTTAATTCAAGCCCAATTAGGTTTGGACTTAGCCCAATATCCAAATAAAAAATAATATTTTTAAAAAATATAATAAGTATTAACTAATTTTTAAAATTTTATATCATTTTATACTATAATACCATATATTTGAGTGTATTATTATAAATATTTTTTTTAAAATTTATATTTTCATATATTTTAATTAATAAAATATTTCAAAATAATATTTAAAATATATTTTAATATTTATTTTTATATTTTAAGACCCACTTATTTTTTTTAAAATTTTTTGAGTCCTATGCATATTTTGAGACTTGAGTATAAAAAAATTGTATTTTATTTTTTATAAAATAGGAAATTAATTTTAAAGTAAAAAATTAAATTAAAAATAATTTTAAAAATAAATTTTGGGCATGTATGAATTTTTGTCTCTATTACTAGGTAAACATAATAAATAGAACAATATCGTTGGATAATTATTTCATTATCATTCATGCTAGACTTGATAAAAATTAAGAATAAACTAGAGTAAACACCTTTTATATGCAAGGATTAAATAATATAAAAAGTTAAAGAAAAAAATAAAAAATAGTATTTTACTCATAATTAAATAATTTTATTTTATATAATATAATAATGATTATTTTTCTCATACTCTTAAAAACAAAAAGTACAATTTACCCAAAAGTTATTAAAAATTAAGATATTAATTTATAAGTAAAGAAAATATTTATAAATAAATTACACATAATACAATAAAATAGTTAAAGAGTTACTTAAATACAAAGTTATTAAGTTATTATTTTTTATTTTATTCTTTTAAAGTTAAAATAATATTTTATGCTTAACAAAGTTATTTAAAAGTTAAAATTGGTTCACAAAATAAAGGAAAAATCTTTTTAAAAAAGTTTTGGATATTTGAGTCGGCTTGAATAAGCCCGAAAGTGTTAGAGCGGGCTTGATTATATAGACTTTTTTATATAAAATAAGATATTTTAAATTTAATAGCAATTGAGCTCAATTGAAATAAGCTCGATTTATCTAAATTATCAGCTCTACTTGTAAGTATCTTATTTGCAAGTGCTTGGTAAAGAAGCATCATTCTATTTTCTCACTAGAGCTGGGTAAACGGGCAGGTTTGGCCCTTATGGGCCTAGCTCTTAAGTCTGATTTTTTATTTTTATCCTTTTTTTGAGGCCTGACTCTTATTTGAAGGGTTCAGGGCCAGCCCATAAGCTCTGTTTTGAAAAAAAAAAATAAAATTAAACACTGTAAATTGATTAAAATATTCTAAAATTAAAAAAAAACTCATAATCCTTTAGAAATTAAACAACAAACATTTATAAGTCTAGTAAAAAAATTCAAATCTTGGTTAAAAAAATAGATCCTTTTTTATAAAAACACAAACATAATAATTATAAAAAAATAAAAAATATTAAAAATTTTATACTATATACTAATATTTATTAAATTATATTAAATTAATTTTAGAATAAATTAAAATTAATAATAATATAATGTGTGTAGGATCAGTGTTTTAGGCGAGTAGGTCTTTCTTGATTTCAAATCCGTGTTCTACTAAAAAAAATTAATAATAATAAAATTTTATAAAATTTATCTAAGTCATCCCTTCAAATTTGATTACTTTCAAAAAATTTAATTTTCAAAACTTAAATTTTTATTTAAATAAGATCTTTAAATTCAGTTTTTATTTTTGGCTCCATTTCCCAAGACAAAATCGGTCTATGTGGAGATTCCTTTAGCTGTTTAAGAAAAACAGTCAGTATCAGCATGAACTGAAAAAAGCTGTGAGTTTTCAATTCAATTAAATTCGAATGGAGTAATAATAATGATCATAAACGACACGAAAGAAAACACCTCTTTCATGCCTTCATGGATGGTTAAACTGCTCAAGGGCGTCGTGTTGTCTTCTGTATTCTATCAACAGACTACAGCGGTTACCTCTCATCCGATCAAGCTGATTAGGAAATCATCATTTGGTCAAATCAAAGTCATTAAAACTAAAACGACAGTAATCTTTTTCTTCCTAGAGAATCACCGAAATAAAACGTTTCCTTCTTCACGTTTCCCGTAAAAGGAAAAACGTTTTGACAGAGCCGACCCTAGCGGAAAGTGGTTTCACGTGCATTCCTCTATCTCCCCCTTTCGCTTTCGCTTTCATTTCATTTCTTTCATATTTCATACCCTTGCTTCAAGAATTCTGCTGTGACAGTGAAGACCAAAAGAGAAGCTAGCCATGGAACCCCCTCCAACACAGTCTATTGAAATTTCCAGCCAAAACTTCCAAGCTGGGAATGATGATCCACAGGACAAGGCCATCAATGAGTGGTAATTTTTTTTTTCTTTTCTCTTCTCAGCTCAATTTCATTTCTTTCCTTTCTGGGACTGCAGAGAGTTATTATCTGATTGAGTTTTCTGATTTTTCTGGAGATGCAGTTGTTCTTGCTGCTATGATTGCACAGGAGGCTGCCTCGATTACTTGTTCTAAAACTTCTGTTGAATTCTTCAATAGGATTACCATGTATTATGGGAATGCCTCCTTTTGTAATTCGTGCTTGTATTATGGGAATTTAGCAAGGAAAAATTTGTGTTTTTAGAGCACTTTTGAGATTTTGAAGAATCTCTCTCTCTCTCTCTCTCTCTCTCTCTCTCTCTCTCTCTCTCTCTGTTATCTTAAATTATTCATGAGCCTTTACCGGCTGGCTTTGACTCGTAATGTAGACAGGAAGGCTTTTGAGTCTCTTTACCGTGTCGGATCATGAAATTACTATTTCTGAAGGACTTTGCGGTTTGGATAGAAAAGCTGACAAAGGGATAATAAACAATATAATAACGATAATGATTAGAACGATGCGGTTGGTAGACAATGCAATGCATCTATATGTCAATTTTCAAAGTCGAAATGGTTTCAATCAAATTCGCAGAAACTAACGAGTATCATCAGCTCAGTGTCTCATTCCCCAGCCTGGCTAATGTGCAAAACATACACAAGAACCTTCTGAATTTCCTAACTGCACAGCCTGACTAATCTTAGGCTTGACTCTGGAAGAAACATTGTTCAGTTTTGCTGCAGATTCGAATATGCTAGGTGTTCTGAATATGCCAAATAAGCAATGATAATCCATTATATGACAGAAAACATGTTCAGTCTTGTTGAAACATGGCAAGATATTGGGGAAAATTCAGAGGAATCGTGGCCAAGTTGGTTTATTAGTGTAATCCAATGCAACTTCTTCCACCTTGTTCTCTCGTGCTTTGTTCGCTGACCTTATGTCTTTTCTATGACTTTTTCCCACCACAACATGATAAGTTTTGCTATCTTCTATAATGATTGTACACACATATTCCACCAAAGAGACACAGATCCACTGAATGCGTATGTTCAAACATCTTACACTTTTTGTATGTATTTATGGTTGGGAAAACATAATTTTGGATTCTTGTACTTTACTCGAGTTTTGTTATAGTTGAAAGATCCTAGAATACCGAAAAGCAAAAGTGTATAAATTTAAAAAAAAAAAATGCAAAGACTTATAGTAAAATTCAAGTAAAATGCAGGGACCTAGAATTATATTTTCTCTCTATGGTTTACTATAAATATTCAAAAATCCACTTGTACTCCCACATCATAACTGGCCAGTGCTTATTGTTTTAATAGGACAAATAGGGTGGAATACCCAATATAAACAGTACTTTGAGATTCATTGCACTTGCGAGTAAATTAGTTTTTTTTTTAAATAAAATCATGTTCTCTGGTTGCATAAATCAATGGAGATGAACAACATGGTCTAACATGCCTATTTAACAACAACGCTCCGGAATGGGAGTAAGATATCGTGACAACCATGAACTATCTCGTATTTAGCATTATCTAGTAACTCAAATTCAAGCACTCATGAATTTCAAATGGCTTGTAGCTTTTCTAATGCAATTTTTAATTTATAAGACTCAAACTGATGGCATTTCTTAAAAAATATTGACTCCCTTATGTTCTATTTAATTACTGTTGGTGACTTTAAATTAGATTTATTGTCATACTAAATGTTAGTGTTCAATTGAGTCCTTAATATCATTGGTTCATCTTAAGTCAAGTCATGCACTTATCTCTATCAAGTAAACGATTTAGTGGGAGAAACAATGAGAAGTTTTTAAGCTACGAGACATATGATGCAATACATCAGCTTGCCACTAAGATCAGTTGTGCATGAGGTGAGAGTGGACTTAGCTACTTACTTCTTCCTCCATTATCAAAGTAAATGTGGACCTGTACCGAACTCGAGTGATTAGATAGTGGCTCCACCACTCTGCATTAAACTAAACAATATGCAGAAACTACTTTTTCTTCTATAAATTGCCTCCACTTTGCAACCAACTGTAACACAGCACTTGTAACTCAGTTAGTAGAGAAAACTCTCTCGGATTTCACTCATGGAGTGTGCCACGAACAAGCATTCTTTTCTTTTCTTTGTCCGGCTAGTGTTCCTTAGTCCGCTTGTCTTCTGTCAACTTAATTACAGGTTCTATGACTCAACCTGTCCAAACCTAACTGGTATTGTTCGATACAATGTCTGGTCAGCCATTTCCAATGAATCCAGAATTGCAGCTTCTCTGTTGCGCCTTCATTTCCATGATTGTTTTGTCAATGTAAATAAGTTGTCTCATAAACAAAAATTATTCTTTTTCTTTAGCCACTTGTATGATATAAGTTGTCATGAAAAACACAAATGAAAGCCTTTTTTTTTTACAGGGATGTGATGGGTCCGCGCTCCTTGATGATACCAGCACGTTCAAGAGTGAAAAGAATGCACTTCCTAACAAAAACTCATTGAGAGGATTTGAAGTAATTGACACAATCAAGTCTGCTTTAGAGAAGGCATGCCCATCCACAGTGTCATGTGCTGATATAGTAACTCTAGCTGCCAGAGAAGCAGTTTATATTGTAAGAAGTATCTATACTATGAAAAAGTATTAGCTTCCTTTTTAATGTAGATACAGTATTAATATGAATGCTTCGTTTTTAATTCCTCAGAGTGGAGGTCCTTTTTGGCCGGTACCTCTTGGTCGCAGAGATGGCACAACAGCAAATGAGACTGAGGCTAATAATTTGCCATCACCTTTTGAGCCCCTTCAAAACATCATTGACAAGTTCATCAATAAGGGTCTTGATATTAATGATGTAGCAATTCTCTCAGGTTTGATTTCTCTCATTGCTTGATATTATAATACGGATACTACAACAAGTGTGAAAGTGAAAGTCTGATGCATGTTTAAAACTTTAGAAACAAACATATTCATAATATGGATATTGCAGGCGCACACACCTTTGGTTTTGCGCAGTGCTTTACATTCAAGCCAAGGCTGTTCAACTTTGGAGGCACAGGCAAATCCGATCCATCACTAGACGCTTCACTTCTTCAAACTCTGCAGAATTTATGCCCTGACCAGGGTGATTCTGACACCAATTTGGCTCCCTTGGATTCAGTGACCACCAACAGATTTGATAACATGTACTACAGAAACCTCTTGAACAATTCAGGATTGCTTCAGTCAGATCAGGCTCTTCTGGGTGACAATAGAACCACTTCTTTGGTGCTCAATTATAGCAAGTATCCTTTTCTGTTCTTGAGGGACTTTGCAATGTCCATGGAGAAGATGGGACGCATAGGTGTTCTCACGGGACAGCAAGGAGAGATCAGGAAAAACTGTAGGGTGGTGAACTAGCTAGCATCTACTACGTCTGTAGACTGTAATAAACAGAACATGAATGTGAAACTTTACGAATTCAGATGTATTTGACTAGCTATAAAAATAGAACATGCTTAGAACTAATGCTTTCTACGCAGTTGATGTAGTTTTTCTAGGCTTGAAAGTTACATGTTTTGACGTCAGTATCAATAATCAATAAATGTAAAATAGAAATTGTAACAAACTATACTATCCACAAGATAAGAATAATGAGACTCATTTCTTAAATTTAATGAAATATATTAGAAAATATGTCTATTTTTATTTAAAAAGTTCATAAATTCATGATTAATTTTTTTTGATGATACTGAAATACATTAGTCAACTAGGTAAATAAAATACAACCAAGAACTAAAATATAAGAAAAACAAGAACCAACTACCTATCCTTTTTGATTATTTTCCACCTCTAAATCTGAGCATGGATAATAATTAAAGAGGCAAAAAATTAACATCTAAAGAGTGAGATAATCTAGCTGAAGAGTCTGCATCCCTATTACAATTCCTATCCACATGGTTAAAAACAATTTGACCATCCTCATAAAGGAAGGAGCTAGCCTATTCGACAAGATCTCTAAAAGAGTAATTGACATCACAACCCTCAATTATTAAATTAATGGCTTCAAAGCAATCGGAAAAGACTTCCACATTGATGAGATTTCACTCCCAACACAAGCTAACGCCCTGTGTCATGCCAATTAATTCTGCCACTGCTGGGGGGACAATGTTTAATTTCGAGCTCAAACCCCATGTCCAGTTGTTGTGACTATCTCGCAGGGTTCCACCACAACCACTATTGCCATCATATCTGACTAAACCATCCACATTGAGTTTTACGAAGCCCTCCCAGTTGGTACTTAGTTGATCTTGCACTGCCTCTACATACTTAAAAAGAAGGCTATTATTCATTGGATCCCTATCCATACAAGCATGAAGTAAACTAGAGATACCATTATTGCTACTTTCCCGACTCTTATTACTAAACACAAAGTTACAGTGATTCAGCCAAATATCCCAGCATATATAACCAAAAAGTGTTGGCCAAAGAGCTTTTTGTGTCAGCTCATTCCCTACTCCATTCTTCAAATTCCATTTGACCCAATCCGGCCCCTGTAGCGAACAAAAAGGTCTCCAGTTAAGTAGGATTAATTATCGACATCCACCTGTGAAAGGCATTTTGACAATCTCGAATGAGGTGTGTATTGAATCCTCCTTGGCATTGCATCCGAAGGGATAGTTGTCATTACTCTGAATACCTCTTCTAGTCCATAGGTCCATCATAAGCAATCGTCCGTGTGTGAACATCCATATGAAAGACTTGATCTTCTATGAGACCAACCATCTCCATAAGAGCATATAGATATTATCTAGCAGTCGTTGTGTACTTGCAGAAAGAAAATTATACGTATATTTAATAGTAAAAAACGCCATTTGAAGATTGTTTCTAGAAGTATTTATCCTCTCCTCTCTCCTTGCGAGGTAGGTGAGCTCGAGTCAAATAGTTAATGACAGAGGGTTCAAACCAGATTCCCAGTTTCCCACTACTCCATTCACCATCCATCTTAACATGTTCCAACGCTGTCTCTTCTTTGTTGGCAAAGCCTTCATACCTAGGAATGAGATCAATCAAGGGGTATTCATCTCTGACCAATTCTCAAACTAGAAAGACATACTAGAGCCATCTCCAATTTTCTTCCTAACACCCCCCTCAAAATTCTCCTAGACATCACATATGCTTCTCCAGATCAGCGAGGAATTCTGTTTTTTCCTAATGCTTAGCACGGGGCTTGTGCCACCTTTGTATTTACTTTTTAAGACCTTCACCCAAAGGCTGTCCTTATTTGACGAGAGATTCAACAAAGTTTCATCATGAATGCCTTGTTTTGCTTCCTCAAGTTTTTGATACCTTGGCCACCTTCCAACTTATCCGTAGAATTTTTTTCCCATGATAAAAGATGGAGCTCCCTATCGCTCTCTGAATGACCCTATAAGAAGTTTCTACTTTGCTTCTTAATTTTGTTCAACAATTTTTTTGGGTAAGAGCATAGTCTGCATGGGGTAGGAGCGTAGGGCAGAGATCACCATCTAGATAAATGTAGCTCTTCTTGCTTTGTTTAGAAACCTTCCCTTCCATCCACTATGCCTCTTCTGCATTTTTTCAAGAATGGGAGCAAACATGACATACGAAGCTCTTTTGTGAAAAAGGGAAATACCAAGGTAATTTGCCCAAGTGTCCCATCAACGAGACCCCCATTTTCTGACTCAAATCAAGAGATCTTGAGACATGGACATTCTTGGAATGGTGCATTTTCGTCTTGAAATAATTCATACTTTGCCTTGAAGAGATATAGAACCGATTCAGACATTCAAGCATAATCTCTACTTGAGTGGACAAAGCTTCTCCAAACAAGACAAGGTCATTCTCCCATATATCAATTCTTTAATTTTGAGTATATTTATTTTTTTTAAAAATCTAATTCCATGATTAGTTTCTATTTAGTATAAATTTTTACAATTGTATTTTTTTTAATTTATAGGTGTTCAAGATTAATGTATGATATACCATTTATAGAATTATATTTAGAAGCTTTGTGATAAATTAATTTCAAGTCTATTTGTCTAAAATTTACAAATCCAGGGCCGTGTGACAATTGACACTATAAATTGGGATCCAAGATTAGGAGTGAAAATAGGTTAAATAATATATAAGTCCAATCTGATTGAAAATATAACGAAAAATGAAAAAGAATAGATTGATTAAAAATTAAATCATAAAACTGATGTGTTGGGCTCGTAAACAATGTCTTGAGAAAATAAATTTAATTAAAGATCTCAGCTTATTTAATAAGTATATTAGGTTGGACCGAAGTAGGCTTGATCCCACTCTTCTTGGGACTTTGAAGTTATCCTGCACATGCAAAAAGCCTTCTATAAAAAAATTTCAATTTATTCTTTTAAGTTTCAAAAATGACACAAAATGTTAATTCTTTCAATGTTTTTTCGGTCATAAAGATCATTCAAATAACTTCTCTATTAAAGAACTTGACTGTGTCAGCCAAAAAATCTAAGCAATTTTAAAAGTATAATTAAAATACTCTTTTGCAGCTAAAAATTAATATCATTAAAGTATAAAATTAATAATAAATCACCCAATTTATAAGTTATAAACATTTTGGCTCATTTTGAAATTGTGTGTAATATACTCCCTCAGTTCAAAAATATAAAGTATTTTTTGAGAGTTAAATGTTAAAAAATATAAGACATTTTTAATTTTTTTATATAAAATTATTGCTTTTTTTTAAGTATTTTTATTAATGAATAAATTTGTTATAGAATATTTAATAAAAAGAATTATAAAAAAATAATATTAATTTAAAAATATATAATTATTTTATTAAATGATGAGATTAAGTTAAAAATCTTACATTTTTATACGGATGTAGCAGCAATGTATCAAGTGGAAAACGACTCCTGCTCTCTCGTCTAGGAATACTTTGTTTAATAATAAATAATAATGATAAAAGAATAAAACAAAAGGGCGGGGTTAAAAGGCGAAGGTGCAGCCTATGAGCGTAAGAACACTAGTCGTGGCGGCACGGCTTGCACAGAAAGGTGAGAGGGAAAAACGTTCAAATCAAGAAGCGCGGTTTAGGGTTTGTTGCAGTGTTCTTCTTTCATATTCGTCAGAGTGAAAGAGAAGTCATCAAAGGAAAATGGTGAACCCAAGATGCTATCTGGACATAAGCATTGGTGGAGAGTTAGAGGGTAGGATTGTGGTCGAGCTCTTCAAAGATGTCGTTCCCAAAACTGCTGAGAACTTCAGGGCTCTTTGTACGGGTGAGAAGGGCCTCGCTCCCAACACCGGAGTTCCCCTGCATTACAAGGTCCTTTCTCTCTCACTTTGCTTTTGTTTTTTTTGTCCTTTCTTTTTCTCATTGAACACACTTTGTTTGCAATTTTTGTTTTCATTTCTTCTTCTTCTTCTTCTTCTTCTTCTTCTTCTTTTGACATTTTGATACAACCATGCATCGATTTTGGTTTTGCTTAACTTGCAATTTTCTATTTATTCTTTTGTCAACATATGTAATTTTTATACTCTTGATGAGGCTTCTGAATATTCATTTTAGGGAGTCCGTTTTCATCGCGTCATTAAAGGTTTCATGGTACAAGGTGGAGATTTCACGGCTGGCGATGGCACTGGTGGAGAATCCATTTATGGCTTGAAATTTGAGGATGAGAATTTTGAGTTGAAACATGAGAGGAAAGGGATATTGTCAATGGCTAATGCAGGTCCCAACACCAATGGATCGCAATTTTTCATTACTACTACTCGGACTCCTCATTTGGATGGAAAGCACGTAGTGTTTGGAAAGGTGATAAAAGGAATGGGTGTGGTGCGTTCTATCGAACATGTTACTACTGGGGAAGTTGACTGTCCCACCCAAGATGTAATCATCGCTGATTGTGGAGAAATAGCTGAAGGGGATGATGATGGAACCATAAACTTCTTCAAAGATGGCGATACTTATCCTGACTGGCCAACTGACCTAAACGAGAAGCCAGATGAAATTTCTTGGTGGATGGAGGCTGTTGATTCTATCAAAAGTCTGGGAAATGAACAGTATAAGGTACAATGTTTTTACAGGTCTCAGCATAATATTCTTCAACATGTCCTGATGATTTTTCTTCCTGTTCCTTCCCTTGCAATTCTAGCCTTAAAATCATTATATTTATTTGGAAGAATTAGAATATGCACCGGCTGGCTTTTTTTCATTCACTAAATTTTGCCATATCATTTCCAACATGCAGAAGCAAGATTATAAGTCTGCTGTTCGCAAGTATCGCAAAGCTTTGCGCTATTTGGATGTCTGCTGGGAAAAGGACGACATTGATGAAGGTCAACCTGATAGTGTGGCTTATGCCGCTTGTGCTGTCTTGAATGATATGCTGTCCTGGCTGCTATTTTAGCACTTTTAGTATCTCACAGATATTTTATTTTCAAATTTTCAGAGAAGAGCACTGCTTTAAGGAAGATAAAGTCTCAAATTTTTACCAACAGTTCTGTAAGTACCATTTCATCAATGCATGTGATACATCTATCATTATTTACTGAAACCCTGTTAATCATAAATAATATTTTTACTTTTTGAAATTATTCCTGGTCTCCTGGAGTAACATTCTAAAGCAAGAAGTGGATTAACAGCTTGAGCTATGTTATGAACAAAGTATTCGTCAGGTTGTGCACCAATATATTGAAACTTTAGCATCTTGAAAGATGAAAGATCACAAATATGCAATGGATGTCTTTGTTCATTTTCACCCAAGGTTCAAACAAAACATAAAAATTGTACAAAAAAAGGAACAAAACGTAAGAACTGAAATGCAAATCTTGATGGTGTCCTTGTTTTTTTGGTCTTTGATCTGTTTTCTCTACGTTAGCCACAGCATTGTGAATGATTTTTTTTCATTTATGACATGTAATCATTCTGCACAAGAGCAGTCTATAAGGCGTGATGCAGGAAGTTATAATATGGATGTAATCATGGCAGGCTCTCTTAGCTACTTGCCTACCCAGAATCAACGTGGAAGTTTTAAATTTGATTTGTGGCTGTAATTTTTGTAACAATTTGTATTTTCTTACCTTCTTTTGTATTTCATTTTAACTGAAGACTCATCTCCTGTGTTTTAATCTTTTTAGGCTTGTAACTTGAAATTAGGCGATCCAAAAGGAGCATTGTTGGATTCAGATTTTGCAATGCATGATGGAGATAACGCAAAGGCCCTGTTTCGCAAAGGCCAGGTTGATCTCTTCCAATATGGATAGTTGCTGTTGATGATGATGATGAAATTGCATGATACTGGCTAATAATTTGTGTGATCTATATGTGAGCTGTGATATTTTCTTGCTCTACTTTTGTTGTACACTAGCTGATTTTGATTAGTATGACCTTCCTACGGCTGTAGGTTCAAAGCCTAGAGTCTATTTTTTATTTTTAATCAATGTGCTTTATATGAATTGTTGAAGATCTTTTACAACCAAGTATTTATTAATTTCATAATTCCTGGATTCTCTGCTTAACCAGTCACATATAATGAATTGGAATTTGTTATTTGTACTTTTCAGGCATGCATGGCACTCAATGACTTGGATGCTGCTGTTGAAAGCTTCAAAAAAGCATTAGAGTTGGAGCCAAACGATGGTAGGTGGTGGTTGTTTGAGTTCTTCATATTCTTTTATTTGTTGAGGGTTTGTGTTTTTGAGAAGTGGGCTTCCTGGATTCTTATGTTGGTACACATGTTAGGATTACTTTTTCCCTCAATATATATATATATATTTTTTTTTTTTTGATACAATTTTTCCCTCAATTGTATCCATATATTTGGTTCAACAGAACTTGGGGGCTTTTTTAAATTCATGGTGAGGCATACTTTTGAAACAAGACTTTAGTCAGTCTTAAGTCCTGGAATTTAGTCCAGTTAGATCAAACAAATTCTTGAAATCTCGTTTCCACATTTACCCCTCGTGCCTTGACCGTGAAAGCCCTTGATAGGATTATTAATAAATAGAGTTGCGTTTTTTCAAGGGGCATTTATATTATAAAGCAGAAGTAAACAGATATAGAGGTTAAACAAATCAGTAGAACGTGACTACTGGATATTAAACTTCGATGTTGCAACACGAACCGAGTCTGGGGTATATCTGGTAAAGTTGACTTCGAACCCTTCTCTGTTCTTCAGGAGGAATTAAGAAAGAGCTTGCAACTGCCAGGAAGAAGGTCAGCCATTTTATTTTATGATTTCCCTTGCTGTTTATTCATGCATCGTTTGCTCGATACAATTTTAGCTTAGTGGGATAGGTTTAATGTTAACTTTGGTTACAGGTTGCTGATAGACATGACCAAGAGAAAAAAGCTTATTCCAGAATGTTCAAATAGAGTTCTTGGAGTTGTGACATATGCTGCTACTGTATTATGTCGAACAAAATCGGGATGGCTGTCATTTCACCTGGTCAAAATTTTCTCCTTTTCCTTTGCAGGCTTAGATCATCAGGTATAGTGTTAATTAGTATAGTTGTATATCTTCTTTCTACATTGTAAAGTGTGAGAGCTGAAGACGGTATGATGTTTCGCTTCTGTCAACCGTGTTTGCTCAGAAGACTGAATTCGAACTTGCATGTGTATTTTCTGATGGAATGCGTTCCAATTCCAGGTATCTGACAGCAAATCAGCCAAGCCCAACGTCCATGGATTCTGTTTTTGGTGTTGAGTTTGTTAAAAATCAATGCGAGGTGAAATGCTGTCTGTAACTTGAATGCTGTTTCGTGTAATGAGGGGACAAATATCTGCTAAAAATCCAAAGACGCTCGGTTGAAGTCGCATATTCATGAAATTTCTGTTGACGCAATGTCCTTCCTGACTAGGATTGCCTGTGTGATTGATTAGTTCGATATCGTTTTCGCTTTCATGCTGATTGGGTGTAACGGCTCTCAGCGTATGAATAAAAGTATAAAACTAGGATGTGACTGACTCTAGATGTAATAGGATGATGCATCGATGTCGCGTCCAATGTGGGTATTTTTTTGATACGTATTAATAAAGTATTGAAATATTATTTTTTAATTTTTTTAAAAAATTAATTTTTAATATATATTTGATATTTTTAGATTATAAATTGATACTTTAAAGTTGATATTTTGAGGTTATTTTTTAAAAGTTAAATTTTATGAAATATCGTGATATTAATTTTTTTGTTTCTAATATGTCTTTATGATTTGCTTTTAAAGTCAAAAATTAAGTTTTCCTTAAAAATAAGTTTTAGATGTAATAAAGAGATAAAAATTATATTTTTTAATTATAAAAATGAAGGAATATAATCTTGATATATAAATTCTAAGTATGAAACTATTAACATAGATTAGGTGGCAGGTGAGTAGGTAAAGATGGAATTAAAATATAATCAATGATCATGCTTTTGTTTTAATATTATTATAAAGAATTATATATGCATACTATGTTCAATATCTTTTAGATTAAAATTATATTTTTAAAATTTTTTTATAAATATATTTGCATTTATAAAAAACATTTCATATCTTATATTTTTAAAAATAAAAGCATTGACATATTGGATACATATCACATTCGGTATGTGTATCAGTATACATATCACTATCTGTGCAATATATATAATAGGTAATTAAAAAATAATAATTTGACTACATGTGTAAATCGTTGGCCTCTAACAAGTCTAATGAGGTGAGCCTGGAACATTGTCAAAAGCCACGGAACGAGTTCTGCTTGCTTATTTGTGAGTTAGGCTGCGCATGTGACCTGACAGTCCGGTTAGCAAGATGTTATAATATTATTTTTCTTAGTTTTTTTTTAATACATTATATTGTTTTTATGATCCATGTTTTATGATTTTGATTTTTAAATTTTTAAAAATTTTAATTTGATTTTCCTAACTTTAGGAGTTTATATTGTGTAAAAAGGATAGATGATTATTAAGGATATATAATTTTAAGAAATTATTGCTTGATAATCATAATATTAGTTTTATGAGAAATTTACTTTAAATAACTATAATTATATTTTTTGTTGAATAACATTATTTTCATATTTGTTTCCTTTGAGACATCTGATAAAATTGAAACAATTAGTATGTCTTCTGCATATGGATGACATGTACAGATCAAGAAAAAATTATTTCCATATTTTAAATTTTGTAAAAATTATTTTCAGGTTGGGCTAAAATCCAATTTAAACTTTTGGGTAGCCCAATGTCTGAACTGACCATCCTCTTGATAAAGCCCAGCTCGTATGCATCAGTAAGGTTAAGTTGCCATGTCGTTTTTAAATAAATATATGGATTTTGATAAATGAAATTTTTTTGGTATTTTATTAATTCTTTTTGTGCCTTTCTTTTCTTCTTGTTTTTTTTTCTTTTTCTTTTTGTGCCTTTTGTAGAATCAAATTATCAAACTTAAACTATTATCTATTTCGATTAACAGAGTTTTTTATTCGGGATAATTTTACAGGACGAACATCTGCATATTATGCAAAGTTAAAAATTACATGTATATTATTTTATTGTTACATTTTTTATCTTTAAGTTGAAATACAAGGGTTTGTTTTTTTTGGCATCCAACACTAACACGAACTTTAATTCACCAGAGAAAACAACTTTAATTCACTAATTATTTATAAATTACAAAATATAGCTATTAATTCTAACATTTTTCAAAAAAATTTCAAATTTTACATAAGCCGATTGGTAATTAGCCCGGTGCTCTCTTCATCAGGTCAGGAACGCAACGCTTGTATTATAAGCTGTTTGATTCCTTCTTGTTCACCAGTTACATGGTTAAATCATTTGGCGCCCTAAGTTAACCACTCTGACTCTCACGCCCCCTCTCTCCCTCGAGGATTCTGCCATGGCAGATCCCATCCCTAGGTCTTTCCTCCTTTCTCTCCTCAACCTTTTACTTCCTAAAGCATTCTTAATTTCTTTGTCCCCCCCCCCCCCCGGCATTTTCTTCAACATTTTCTTCTTGTGGTTCTCGTGAATTGTATTTTCTTTTCTGGTAACTGTAAGTTTTATTTGTTCTGGTCTGCTGCAGATTATAATTTCACGATTTTCTAATACAATTTTATGGCGAAATTTTCTTCCCTTCCATTTCCGTATCTTTCTTCTTTCTCTTAATCTTAGTCTAATTAATTTAGCTGGTGATAGCTTTGACCATCCGGATTATGCTGAGATCGTTGTAATACGTCATGGTGAAACAGCATGGAACGCTGATGGTAGAATACAGGTATTTTTCTCGGCTGGTAAAGTCTGAAGTTTGACGTGTTCAAGTAAAACAGTGATGATTTGATGCTGAGTTTATTAATTGTAGATAATTATAATAGATTTCACAGCAAATCAAATTGTAGGTTGGGCTTATTTCTGCTATTGTATTTGATGCATGCGTGTAGTCTAACCAATATGATATGCTTATCTTAATAAATGCTTTTCAAGTAAAAGTGGCTCAAGCCATCCACTTTAGGTCTCTTTGGCCTTTATGGATGTCAATAATTTCTTAAATCTTCTCGCTGAAAGAGACTATTGTCATCTGTTTGCAAAAGCATATGCTTTGCTAGCCTATAATCACAATCAATTTGTCATCGGCAACTGTTATTTCATAGCTTACCATAAATTATGACAAGAAGCTCCGTCACTTCTTTCCCTTCTATGGCAATTTCTACCTCCCATGCATTCGCATCTCTCTATAGCTTTCTTGTCTATTCTTTCTTATATTGTTTGTTCCTTACTTTCTTTAATTACGCTCAACTTTCATATAAGCTCCTACATGTTTGTAATTAGGGACATCTGGATGTTGAGTTAAATGAAGTTGGAAGAGACCAAGCAGCCGCAGTAAGTTGCTTTTGTAGCACAATTTCTTTCCCTCATGCAAACCATTACTGATGTCTGATGCTTTCTTTTTATTTATTTTTGCCTATTTGTGCCTTAATGACTAATGCCAATGTTTTGGATGGAGGTGGCTGAAAGACTATCTAGTGAACCAAAGTTCTCTTTCGTATATTCATCTGACTTGCAACGAGCTTATGAGACAGCGCAGATAATTGCAACCAAATGTGGAGGGCTAGAGGTTTGAACCCCGGTTATATTCTTCATGTTTCATTTCACTAAATTTTGTATCCTAGAATAGTTCAGTTTTGATTTCCATTGCAAGCCATGCTAGGTCCTCACAGTCATTCAGGTCATTTGATATATTGGTATTCTATCACTGTTTCCATTTATATTAGACGGACTATGCATGAAGTATCTTTGTGGTAATTATGACATAATACTGAAAAGTTAAATATTTTATATGGCAACTAAGAGATGTCTTAATGTTATGTTGCGCATTACTCTGTTATATCACTTCACCTTCTTCCTCTGCATTGTTGAATTTAAATATAATATAATTTCTTTAATATATATATTCCTCTTTGTATCTCAAACTCCAGGTCGTCAAGGACCCTGACCTAAGGGAAAGACACCTAGGGGATCTTCAAGGCCTTTACCGTCGTGAAGCATCAAAGACTAATCCCACAGCTTACAGGGCTATGGATCGAGGTGAAGAAATACCAGTAAGTGCAATAGAAGCCAGATAATCATACCCCTTATTTAAAATGAAAACATGATTTCATTCAAGTCAATCTACATTTGCTTTGAGCTGATGGTTTGTTATTCAGTTGCTGCACTAATCTTGATTGGTTAGTGTTTTGCTTTGATATTATCTACACTGTGATTTCCTTCTTTGCACGTGCCTGACATTGATGCATATGTCACAATATTCAGGGTGGCGGAGAAAGTCTTGATCAGCTTTCCAAACGCTGCACATCTGCATTGCAGAGAATAGGCATGAAGCATTTAGGTAGGCCACCTTGGTAAAATTATTTGGCTCGTGCCTTTCATGAGAGGATTGCCAGGGCAAATTGCTTTGGGATGCAAGTTACTTGCCCTTAGTGTGTAACCTAGATTTCTTTTAGACAATGTGGGCCTAACAAGCAGTTCGTGATAACTGATAATACTGTGTTAATGGATCCCTTTTCAAAGTCTTTCGACACTTGAATAATTATGTGAAATTATCATTTGCAGGGAAGCGGGTTGCAGTTGTTACTCATGGAGGTGTCATCAGATCACTATACAAGCGGGCCAATAACAAAAACAGGCGATGTGGGATGATACTCAACACGTCTGTCAATGTGTTTCACTTGCATGAAGACAAGTGGGTTATAAAAACTTGGGGTGATGTTAGCCATCTGAACCAAACAGGATTTCTGCAGTCGGGTTTTGGGGGTGACAGAACTTCTGGTTAGGCTGTATCGCTTGACTTGTTCATTGAAGCAATAGTGATACGAGGTTTTCAAAATGATGATGCTAAAAATAATTTTTTCAGTGCCTTCTGGCTGATATTTTTTCAATTACACTGTTATGAACTTCAATGATGCTAAAGATAATTTTGCCTCGCCCTTGTCAAGTTACCAGTTATCCTATTCTGGCTATCATGCATAGTGTTGTCCCAACTCCCAAATGTAATATGCCTGCTGGCGTTCATCAATGTATGATGAGTGTTTTTTATGTTTTGGTTTGTGTGTTGCCTTTCCCCCGGGGGGGCGGGGTTTAGAAGATTTCTTTTTGATTTACTTAACAACTATGTCGATGAATTCCATTATTCAGTGATGCCTGCTGATAACTTTTTTTGGGGGAATTTTAGTTAAGGAACACCAGAATTAATTTCAGTTTTTTAAAATTTTAGTTCAGTTCAAAAAAAAAATTAAAAGAATTCTGAAGGTAAAAAGACCAAAATATGCCTTTCACTTATTATATAAAATCACTAGTTATTAATTTTCTTACTTTACTTGTTAATTTACAAATGTGAGTTGTAAATTACATGAGTTGACATGCTAATAATTATATAATACTTGACATCAATTTTTTTACTCATAAGTAACAGTATTAATTGTTAAACTGCTAACTTTATTTATTAATTTACTAATATCAGTTTTAAATTACTAATAGGTTTTGCAATTCACTAACGTCAATTGTAAATGATTGACAGGTCTTATAATTTATAACTGTTGTTAGTGAATTAACAAGTAAAGTTAGCAAATTAATAATTAATATTCGTGATTGTTTGACAAATGAATGTAATTTACAAATGATATTGATAAATTAACACATGCAATAAGAAAATTAATAATTTCTAATCTTGCATAATAAATGAAGGATATTTTAATTTTTTTACTGTCAAAATTATTTTGACTTTTTTTCCTCTAGGCTAAATTGAAATTTTGAAAATTTTTTAGTCCACTTGAAATTAATTTTTTTAGAATGGTCCTTGACTAAAATTCTTTTTACTTTTTTTTTTTAACTCAAGGTTTGTTTCTTAAGCTTAGAGTGTGTGTGATGAAATTGAGTTCTAAAGTTTAGAGGGAAGTTTTTGCCGTGAAGTTTGAATACTCTACTCATAATGGTAGAGTAGGTGTGATGTATGACAGCAGTGTTTAACTTGTACTCATCTCAATTGGTTCGGTTTCATTTCAATTATATCAAGATGGGTCTTGTCTCAGCTTGAAAATAATTGAGATAGGACAAGAAAGGGATTTGGGATAAGACGGAACGCAAGACTACCTTCGAAACATTCCATTTTAGCCTGAATATTTTTATATATATATATATATATATATTATTTTTATTTATAAATATACATTAACTATATTAATTATATTAATATAATTTATACTTATATTAATGATAATTTCAATATGTGTAATTTTTATTTAAAATTAAAATTTGTTGATATTGATAATTTTAATGACACAAAGTTACAAACTTATTAAGTAAGCAATGCGAGGTAATATCTTTCTCTATAATACATTAATTATATTAATATAATTTATTTTTATATTTATGTATTTAATAACTTTTATTTATATCATATTTCTAGCTTTATTTTCATATCTCGATTAAAGAAGAAGAACAATGATTTGATATTGTGTCTAACTTGTCTATTGTTATTGCTCTTATAGCTTAGAGATAATTTATAATTACTATCATAATGTGTTATATACTTGTAGTTATGATTGATGTAATTCAATAATTAATTTTAAATTGTGATTTATATATTCATATTGTTGTGATTTTAAACTCAATAAATTATTGATTTAAAATTTTAATAAATGTTATTATTTAAACCTTTTTCTCACATCACCTGATTTATCGAGACAACGGGACGTATCTATTTCTAATGGGACAGGACACAGGACAAAATTCAATCCCTATCTTTTTTAAAGATGGGACATGAAACAAAGGTATCTTGGTTCCATCCTTCCTTGTGAATATTCCTAATGTATGATATATCATAGGCAAAGAAGTCATCAGGCCAAGAACTTTTCACATTAATTTCACCTTTTGTTTTTGTTTTTTTAATTCTTATATAAATAACGTATGGACTATTTATAATTATAATTATAATTTATAAATACAAATACTACAAGTTTTATTTTATTAACTAGAGTCGATTACATGAATTGAATGATGTTATAATCTCCTATTTTTATCATTAATCAAATTTTTAAAAATATTGTTGATCAAAAAGTCTCATACAACAATTACAAATTTATCTTTTAATTATAATTTTATTGTCTTTTCGTTAGAAATTATAAAATTGTCTTTTTCATTAATTTTATCAACGCTTTTCTCTTCTTATTGCTTCTTACATGATATTCCTTTCTTTTTCATTCCGGCTTCATCCTTTATGTTCTTTTTTATCCTTTTCCCCCATTTATTGGATTGGTGCCTGTGAATTTGTTTTTAAGATATTATAAATTTTTTTGTATAAAATAAAATAAAATTTTTAAATAAGATAACAAGCATTTTTATCCTTATTGAAAACTACATAAGATCTTTTTACTACACATAATAAAAGGGGCTCAATAGAAAATACCATTAAAAAAAATTTTCACTTAAAAGTAATTTGTTTTAAATTTTTAAAATAAAGGAAAAATGACAATAAAATCTCTTTGAAATATATAAATAATAATTTAATCTCTCAAAATGTCATAATTTTTCTGAAGTCCTTGAAACTTTTCTGTCATTAATTAATTTATATAAATTATTAAATTATTCTTGTTGAAAATAAATGATTCACAAGTTTTTTTTTTAAATATTAACAACTGTATTTCTTATATTCGCAATAATGTAATAGCAAATCACAACTTTATATATCAAATTTCATATTTGAATTTGCATTGTTGCGAATATAAAAAAGAAAATTGTTAATATTTAAATAAAACTTGTGAATAATTTATTTTTAATAAGGACAATTTGATAATTTATATAAATTCATTCATGATAGAAAAGTCTTTAGGAACTTCAGAAAAATTATGATATTCTAAGAGATTAAATTATCACTTATATATTTTAGAGAGATTTTATTATCATTTTCTCTAATAATAAATTGTAAATATTTAGTAAATATTGTACATGTTTTTTTTTTAAATTACTCTTGATTCAAGCTACCAAAACGCCTGTCTTGCATCTCATGCTACAAGGTGAGGTGTCACAGCCAAATGTAATTAGGTGAGACACCAATTTCTAATCCTTGAGGTTTTATTTAACTTTTTGTTCGGACTCTTAAAGTTTCTTTTAGTTTAATATATTGTTTTAAAATATTTAAAGTTCTTAACAATTAACATATAGTTTAGCACCATCAACATCAATAACGAAATTTTGACCAAAAAAAAAAACATCATTAAATAAATTGTTGATAAGGCTCACTGGCATCTTAATGAGTAATTAAAACAAAAAATACTAATATGACCATTTGTGATTTTACCACTGGTCTCCTAGTCTAATTAGGTGGGCTTGGTACATTGTTAAAACTGAAGGAGTTAATGAGTTTTTATTTTAACAATAATTTGTGAGTAATAAGATATTATATATATATATATATATATATATTAAAAATATAGATATTGATGAAAGAATTCATGCGTTTGTTAATGAGTTAATGGTTTTTCTTTTTTCTTTTTTTTGATAAACAATGAGTTAGTGGTTCTATCATTGCATTAAAGTCTTTTTATCTCTCAATTTTACTCAAAAAGTCATTAGGTTAATTTATTCCTTAATTTTTTTCTTTTATCATCCTGTCATTTTTTCATTATTAGTTAACTATTAGTAAACCTTATATCATTTTTTTAATTTTTTTTATAAAATATTTGAATTGAAAGTGCCTACTAATCTTTCAAATAAAAGTTAAAAAGCAAAAATAATTTTTTATGCAATAAAAAATATTAAAAAAATAGTAAAATTTTTTAATGACTAATAAACGTTAAGTATTTTTAATATTAAAATAATAAAAGATGGAATTTTCAATTTTAAAAAAAAATTAACTTATAGTTAAATTTATAATTTCAAATAGCTTTTTTGATAAAGTCGACAATAAAAATTAGACCGCATCTAACCAATTGACAGCATCTTGGCGGCATCACTAATATTATACCTCTCTCCTGGCAGAAATAGATTCTTTAAATTTATTTTTCTCTCAATTTCAAGAATTCAAGAAGTACGTTATACTGTTATAGTTATAGTTTTTAGTTTTATATTGTTGCACGAAGAATCGCCACTGGCCATTGCTGTAATTTTATTTTATTTTTGATACACTTCCATTAAAAAAAGAAATAAATAATAAAAGAATCCGATTCTTGAAGCTGACCGTGATTGGTTATTACTGATTAGCCCTGAGCTCCGGAACGCAACGCCTATAAATGTAAGTTGGTTGATTTTTTCCCCCCACATTCTGTTATTGCTCTGTTCACCAATTGAATCTTTTGGCGCTTCAAGCTAAGTACGCTTCTTACTCTCTCGCCTCGCGCTCTCACTCGTCGATTCTTCCATGGCGGATCCCGCTTCTAGGTCTTACGTCTTCTCCCTCCTCAAGCTTTTACTTCTTGATATCTCAGCTTCTGAATTTGAAACCTTACACCTATTTGCATTCTTAATTTCTTTGTTTTCTTTCCCCTTCGATTCTTTTCATCATTTTCTTGCTGGCTTGCTCTTGAATTGTATCTTTTCTGGTATCTGCAACTTTTCGTTGTCCTTGTCTTCCGCTAATCATGGTTTAAAATTTTTCTAAAATAATTTGAAGGTGAAATTTTCTTCCCTTCCATGTTGCTTTTTCCTTCTTTCTCCCAATCTCAAATTATTTAATATCACGATGCTGATTATAGCATTGACCATCCGGATTATGCTGAGGTGGTTGTGATACGCCATGGTGAAACAGCATGGAACTCTGATGGAAGAATGCAGGTACTTTTCTTGGCGGGAAAAGATTGACGTGATCGAGTATAAACAGTGATGCCATTTGATATTGAGTGTGCTATGCATAACTAATATATCACCGAAAATCAAATCGTAGGTTGAGCTTATTTCTGCTATTATATTTATCATGCGTACACGTAGACTAACCAAATATGATATGGCTCCTTGGCCTGTGACTACCAATAATTATTTTCAAAAGATCTCTGTACGGGAAGAGACCATTCCCATCTGTTTGCAAAAGTCTGTTCTTAGCTACCCTATAATCTCAATCACTTTGTTCTCAGAAACTGTTATTCGTAGCTTAACATAATCATGACAAGAAGCTCCTTTACTTCTTTCCCTTCTGCGGTAATTTCTACCACTCGTGTAACTGCATCTTTTTATGCCTTTCTTGTCCATTATTTCTTATATTGATTGTCCTTGTTGAGGTTACTTGCTTTATTTATGCTCAATTTACATATAGGCTCATAATATGTGTGTTGTCAGGGTCATCTGGATATTGAGCTAAACGAAGCCGGAAGAGCGCAAGCAGCTGCAGTAAGTAGTTTTTGTTGCTCGATTTCTTTCCTACATACAACAAACCATATCTGATGCTTTCTTTCTTTCTTTCTTTTTTATTAATGTCTTAATGACTGATGCCAATATTTTGGATGGAGGTGGCTGAAAGACTATCTAGTGAACCAAAGTTCTCTGTCGTATATTCTTCTGACTTGCAAAGAGCCTATGAAACTGCACAGATAATTGCAGCCAAATGTGGAGGGCTAGAGGTTCGAACCCAGATCAACTTAAATCTTGTATTCTAGAATGAAAGTTCGGTCTTGATTTCCACTATAAGCCGTACTCACTGCTCAGTTGAGCTCGTTCTGTATATTTGTGTACTCACAGTCGTGACCATTTATTAAAACCCAGACTTTGCATGAAGAGTCTTACTGGTTTGTGGTAATTTTGACACAGATACTGAGAATTTAATTTTAGTATTTTAAATAGCAACTATACGATGTCTTGAATTTAAGTTCAATGGTGAATGCACATCGTTCTCCCCCATGTGTGTGTTATATCGCTTCACCTTCTTTCTCTGCGTTGTCGAATTCAAATATAACATAACTATAATTATATTTTTCTCTAATTTTTTTTTTGCCCTTTTTATATGATTATATCTCGGACCTTAAACTCCAGGTTGTCGAGGACCCTGACCTGAGGGAAAGACACCTTGGGGTTCTTCAAGGTGTTTCCCGTCATGAAGCGTTGAAGACTAATCCCACAGCTTACACGGCTAAAGATCTTGGTGAAGAAATACCAGTAAGTGCTATAGAAGCCAAATCATTATACCCCTTGTCTAAAATAAAAACAGAAATTCATATTCATTCATACATATCAATAGAAGTTTCCTCTGAGATGATGATGTTTACTACTCAATTCCTGCTCTAACTTGTTTTGTCAGTGTTTTTTCTTTGCCCCTGCATTATTAATATTATGAATGCCGTTAATATTGCATGAAGCTGACATTAATGCGTATGTCACAATATTCAGGGCGGTGGAGAAAGTCTTGATCAACTTTCCAAACGCTGCACATCTGCATTGCAGAGAATAGCCATGAAGCATTTAGGTAGGCATCTTAAATTATCCGGTTCATGGCTTGCTCATGAGAAAATTACATTGCCAGGGCAAATTGATTTGACATGCAAGTTACTTACCAAATTTACAAGTGATTGGTGATAATTGATAATATGTTAATGTATCATTTGCAGGGAAGCGGGTGGCAGTTGTTACTCATGCAGGTGTAATCAGATCACTTTACATGCGGGTCAACACAGAAGAGCCTTCAGGGAAAATACTCAACTCATCTGTCAATGTGTTTCACTTGTATGAAGACAAGTGGATTATAAAAACTTGGGGCGATGTTAGCCATCTGGACCGAACAGGATCTGGGGAATCTGGTTCTGGGGGTGACAGAACATCTGGTTAGGCTGTGCATCGATCGACTTGTACATCCACTGAACATTATTGATACCATGTTTTCAAACTGACACAGGTTATGGGGAAGGAGAGGAAAAGGATGTCATTGTCTACTGGCTGAATTTTTTTAATTTTTTTCATGTACAGCATATTGAGCTTCAATGATGCTAAAGATAATTTTGCATCCTATTATGCACAATGTTTGTGGGTACAAGTATTTTCGTTTTGCTTCTTCTTAACTGTGTTGACGAACACCACTGGGGAAGACATGAAGTGATACTTGCTCATAGGTTCTTACTGAATGACTGATGGTCGAACATATTACATCCCCCCCTCCCCCAAGCCCACAACGTTATATATCGTCAACGCACGCACGCACGCGCGCACGTGGTAGGGAATGTCTGATGAATTGATGAGTGATGTCATATGAGCAAGAAGGTAAGCAATCTGCAATCCAATTTCCTCAGCCTGATTGATAAACATCGAAACATTCTCTCTAGATTTAGTTGTAACGTTTAATTAGGACTTGCTGGTTAATTTCAGGGCCACCAAGTCCGTTTGTGTTGTTGAGGGCATTAAAGTTTCTTTCAAAAGGGCTACTCTTAAGTTGAACCTACAACAAGCATGCGTTGATTTTAGTATTGCTTGAGGGCTTAGAGTTCTACATTTGACTCGTCTATCAGTTGTTTGGCTCAGACTATTCTCTTTTGGATCATAGGGCTGCATGTTTGGGATCCTGCTTTGGTCATTTATAATTTGAAGTTGGAAATATCCTAAATGTGTGAAAAATTATTTATATAAGATTTGAACAAGCCATTTCAAATTTGGATAGCGCAGCCTAAATGCTGCTGTTAAGTTTTTTTTTTTTTCATTTTTCAAATTTTAATTGAAAATTATGTTTTGATTCTTTTAAAAATTAAAAAATATAAATGATATATTTCAAAATATTTAAAGCAAAACCTAACAATATAAATTTAGTGTGGACCAAATAGAAAAGGAACCCATAAGATGTGCAGGAATATACCCTACACCATACAACGAATTTGCTGACAGTTTGTGTTAATAAAAAATTTGCACATACACAAATGCAATAAAATATGAATCAGTTGGTGATGGAAATAGAAAACTGCAAAGCAGACAATGCATTGATCTCTGATTCTCTCCCACTCTCTTTTTGTTTCAGAGATCCATTCCTTCGCCTTTGTCTTATGTACCCAGCAAGAAAAGTAGAAAAATTAATGTGGTGACTGTTTTTTTTTTTTTTGGTGCAAATTAGTTACCATTTCTTCCTATTTTTGTTTTATGTTAAATATAAAAGAAAATATTGATAGGGACTAATAACTTAATGTAATGAACGCCTCAAGTGGAGCTTACTTTGAAACACTTTTTCTTAATGAAAATTTATCAACATGTCATTATTTTCTCCTTTTAAGTTTAATGAAGAAATAAATCATATTAGCTAGTAATTTCCAGAAAAAATTATAATAAATTTTTTAGAAGAAAATTTATTGAAAAAAAGTAAGTTATAAGAGTCAAAAATATAAGTGGTAACTCTTGAGTTATAAAGAATAAATAACTATTAAATTTTCGGTTATATCTCATTATATTTATATAAAAAAGTTAAACATTTTTTTGCAACAAAAATAAATTTCTTAAAATTAAATAGCCATATATTTAAATCATCCACATCCAAAATATAAATCCCTATTTGAGCCATAAAATTATTTTTCCCCGAAATGCTCCTCGTTAATCACAATATGAGAGAAAAATATGATATTCACACGCCAGAATGTCAATGGTAAGTTACGGGTAGATTTTCAAAAAAAAAAAAAACGAATTTAATTAGTTTAAAAATTTTATCCGTCTACGTGAATTGTGAAGTATATATTGGTTCCATATATTTGTGAATGGAGATAGTAATATAATTAAATCATAATATAAAACACAAAAAACATTGAATTCCAAGTTTTTTTTTATTAGTTTAATAAATTTTAGGGAAAGTATAGTTTTTGGTTCTTAGAATTTTGGTCACATTGGACTGAAGTTCTTCTAGTTTTCATTAAACATTCAGCCTTTATTTTTAGAATTATGATCAATTTTGATCAAGATTTTTAAAGATAACATGTCATAGACACAACAATGCACGCGTCTCTAACATGACATTAATATTTGATAAGAGAAGGTAACTTGACTAAAATTAACCATAATTTCAACAATTGATTTCTTAATATATGAAAAGATTAGTGTGTAATTTAGACCTGAATTATAAGTTCATAGGTTATTTAAACTCTAAACTCATATTTTGTATATTTTAAATTCTAAACAATTAAATTTAAGACAACTTTACAGTTTTAAAAAAAAAGTTTAATATATGATTTTCACTAAATTTCACTCTTTTCCTCTGTCACCTTTATTTGAAAAAATTATACATTAGGCCCTTATTTTTTAAAAAAATAACAAACATTTGTTTTAATTTAGCAGGATGGTTGAAATTACTCTAAATTTAATTGTTTAGGGTTTACAATATACTAAATATGAGCTTAGAATTTAAATCGTCTCTGGACTTATAGTTCGGGATTTAATTTGTATATTAACCCTACATGAAAAAATTATAGAGATCCAAACTCAAGTTTACCAAGACTAGTATATGGCTCGTGCTATGTACTATGAAATAAAATAATTTAAATAAATAATGAGATTTACTTAACATATAGAATGAGTTATTATTAAATAAAAATAATTGATAACTCATAAATTAAATTTATAGATACTATAAATTGGTTCTAAATGCACTTTATAAGTATTTGAATAGTATTTCTCTATAAATAATATTTAAAGTTGTGTTTTGTGGGTTTTTAATAAAAAAATCAATATTTACAAGTCTTTGTTGATACTTGCTTTAGATTCATAAATGAATACAAGTTTAAGAAAATATAACTAACATTATAAAAATTTTTTATGTTGATTCTAATTTATCATCATGAGGAAAGATGATATAGTTAAGAATTGCTATTGTAAATGTTGAATGGTAAAATTAAGCTTAACAATATACTTAAAACTTTAGCAGTTAAATCCTTCTTAACCTTAATGGATCTTAACATCACTCCAACAACAATCAAATATATTAGGTATCATTAACATATATTGCCAAAAACAAAAGAATTATCAATGTATGATATATGAAAAGTGAATCGTCTTTGAATCATTTTCTTCTTCTTAAAATATCATCTTCTCATAAGGCCAATTCTTTGCCACATAAATAAATCCTCTTGTTGAGAAGATATCAAGCTAAGCAATATATAATTTAAAGTGTGAAGGTTATTTTTAGTAAACATTATCATATTAACAGAATTCTGGATTGGAGAGACAACAACATTAATTAAAATATCATTTACAAAAGTGATGCATGATTCTTGCAAATGAACCTTAGTGTATAAAGGCAAATTATATATCCATTAGAATAAAACTATGCAAACTGTCTTTGCTTCTTGCATAGTGATAAGTCAATATTATTATGGCGTCGCCTTAATTTAAGCACGCAAAAAATTAACAAAAATTTGGACAATTTTAAAGGAAAAGAAGACATCAAGTAATTTAGATGATAACTATGAATATATTACTATGTGGCAAACCATTAACAGGAACTAAAAGGAGGGGATTAAAAGGAAAGATAGAAAATCATCTACCTACCATATTAGTGAATGTTTATTTTATAAAAAAATTACTTATTTTTTTAAAAAAATCTATTTTGTGATTTTTTATAATATTTGTTTAAAATTTTAAAAATAACTAAAATCTAAAAATATATATTTCTGATTATTTTAAGAAGCTACTTTAAATAGTTTTTAAAAATAGTCTAATGCGATAAATGAGAAAAAAATTTTAAAAATGTAGCATATGCAAATGTATCATAAAATTTTAAAATAATTAAATAAAAATTATTTTTTATTATTGTAACTAAATATAAAATGATATTTTCTTTTTATAAAATCTCTATAAAATAAATATCTTTTTATAAAATTTTTAAATTACCTAAAAATCACTTTTTTTAATTTTACATAAACGGGCTCTACATTACAATTGTTCTATATCTTCCCAATATTAAGGCCATTCATAAAATGTTGATATGGTTTGTAAATACACATATTATGAATAAGAAATTATAAATTTAAGATGGATTTATGGAAATACAAATATGAAAGGCTGACTTGTAATACTGTCATAAAAACTTATAATAATGCAAATGATACAACTAAGAAAAATAAGAATTAGAGCGCACAATCAAAACATGAAATTCAAATGTGAATCAATTGTAGAATATTGAAAATGCAGTTGTTTAACAATAACTAAATCTGTAATGAAAATAATTCATCAGGAAAAAAGAATTATAACATACCATAAGAGGAATACCACTTGAGAGAACAAATAGAGAAGAAGCACAAATTGTTAAACACGGCTGGCAAGGGAAGAAGGAAAAGAAGGAAGATGAAAAAAAATGAAGGCTTCACATCCCATCCAACGTAAACATAATTTAAGATAGTGACTTCATGAAAGAGCAATTTTGAATTAAATATAAGAAAATGGGGAGTGGTCTTTAACAATTTAAGAAACAAATAGGAGGTGATTTTTGATAATTTTAAAAATAATTATTTTTAAATTTAAGTTTTGAAATTTGAAATTAGGAATAAGTTAATAGGATGTTAGGATAATGGAGAGATTAGGGGTTAAGGTAATTTTATTTATATTTTAAATAATGAATAATAAAACATAAAAATATCAAGAACACGTGGTATCACTGGACTTAAGCTTGTGGTAATTTTTCAACTATAATTTTGAATTACAAATAAATTTAATTATAAATACCAATTATAAAAAGTTAATAGAAAGTTGGGAGATAATGTAGAGATATGGGAGTGATGAGTTAGTTTTATTTATATTTTAAATAATAAAAAATAAAAATAAAATATTAATAACACATGTCATCACTCGACCTAAGCTTGCTTGAGATTTTACTTATATATATATTAAAAATAAAAAACCTATATTTCTTTAAAATTTAAAAATGATCAAGAATGAAATGAATTAAGTCAAATTGAATTCATCAAAGATAAAATTAGACAACTAAATCAAAATATATTTGTTTAGCCAAGATATATCATACTTTGAAAAATAATTACTCATTCTATTTCAAATTATAAGACAAAGTTGCTGGTATATTGTTGTCCCAAAATATAAAATAATTTAACAAAAATAAGATTTCATTAATGCCACTTTTCTAACATTAACCCTTCAAGTGGAGACAAAATTGAAATAATATTATATTGTAATGATTAGGGTGTAAGTGTATTTTTAAAAGTTTTTAATTTTATTTTAAAAAAATAAATTTATAAAATGTTATTATTGTGTTTTATTAGTATGCTGGATGTGCAATCTTTTCCAACTTTCTTTTATAATTTGGGACAAAAAGAGAACATCATGCATCTATTGTAATATACAAAATTCAAACAAACCTTATTATCTATATAATTTATGAATAATATACTTATTTTTTAGATTTTGTGCACATGAAATCTAAAGTAAATTATATATACTGCTATTGTTCATGGTTTCAGGAAAATACCATATGTATTTTTTTATATTTCAAATATTTATTTCACTTAGGTTTTCAAACTTGTAT